TTTTTTTTTAATGATCAGAGATGTATGCTGTACAATCATTCCAGGAAAAGGAAAACAGTGGAAAGAAATCATTAATAGTCTGACTATAACTAAATGTAAGGCTAAATGAGAAATTATACTAAGTACATGACATTATATGTTATCACTTTAATAATGTATTAGAGTACTAGTCCTCTACAGAAATTCATAATAACAATGAAACTTGTCACACTTTCTTTAACATAAATGATGTATTGGTAATACTAATACTTAATTTCCATCATTTAAATTAGATACTTAAAAATGGTTGCACAGTCATATCTAACTTCCTGTCTTCTCTCTTCTTCTATTATCTTTCCTCTCAGTACAGTAACCACAGGAGGATGCAGCTCAAAGAGTCACTGCAGTGAGACAGCATCCTCCCTCTGAGTCTCATCTCCCTGTGTTAGCCACTTTTATTCTTAATAAACCAAAGATTATGCTTATGCCTGGTCTTTGTGGTGCTTTATTTATGCATTTGTTGTTGGTCATATGCATAGTTATAGTTAAGATTGGCTTTAAATTAAGCCAACTGTTGGTGTCAGTGGTATAACTACACATGTATACTTTTATCTCTGAGTGCTGAATCCATGTGCAGCACAACACACAACAGTGGAGACCGGTGATCTCGTCTTTTTGGTGTTTTACTTTGGAAATCGCAACCGGAATACGCGTACAGTCACATACTCACTGATCTTCTACCTTTGTATCTATTATTTTGTATCTGTTATTTTTGTTCTGCCAGTCATAATTAGATAAACATTGTTTGTTTTTAAAACCGCGTGAGAGTCTCTAGAAATTAAATGAGAGTATACTGTTAACATAGACCGTAATCAGCCGGCTTTTATTTTGAATTTAGTAATCGGAAGTCGTAAGTCTTTCCCATTCATCCCGTTCAACCTGCTCCAGTGCACCGGTCGGATTTAGCTAGTATCGCTAGACTAAGTGTTGATTTTTATTAAAACATGTCTTACCCAACACCATCCGACAAGCCTTCAAATCCAGCAAACCCCCGCGTCTTCTTGGACGTAGACATTGATGGGGAGAGAGGTCAGGACATCTGAAATCGACTGTTGTTTAACATCTATTTGCGCCACTTTAAGTCTTAGCTTTGTTAGCTTAGCACCATCCTGGCACGTTCTAGTGACTTCTAGAAACTGATTTATATACCACATGCCAAAGACGCTATCAACTAGAAATAAACCAAGCTGTAAATGACACGTGTTTGTCCATTTAAGAGCATTAAGGCAAATTAAAACGTTTTGTGAGCCAGTTTCGTGAGTGTATGCACCACGTGTGCTTTTGTCGAGTGTTACCATAATCTTATAAGTGAAACATGAAAGGTTAAAAGAGGAACGAGTACACAGTCTATTGCATTATAATTATAAGTTTGGGTCACTTAAAATGTTTTCAATCTTATTATTTCAATCACATAAACAATGATGATTTTTCAATATAGAAACTGACGCTTGATAACACAGTCCAGATTAATATCATTGGTGTTGTAACTGATTAAACCGAGCTGCTTTCTGTCCTCAGCTGGCCGAATTGTTCTCGAGCTGTTTGCTGACATAACCCCAAAGACTGCTGAAAACTTCCGGGCTCTGTGCACTGGAGAAAAGGGCACTGGCAAATCGACTGGGAAACCACTGCACTTCAAAGGATGCCCGTTTCATAGAAGTAAATAGACTTCTTGACTTTGGAAGGAGAGTTTGAAGATGAATAGCTGAGTAGTTGAAAGGACATCCAGGGTAGCGAAGCATTTGGAGAATATATCGTTTATTGGATATTCAGTACATTTCCTAGGAGGAAATCCCAAGTCTTGGCATAATCAGTGGCTTGGAAACTAGGTCTATGAGTACTATTTTTTTTTAAACTGTGAGTTTAAATAATACTGCTTGCATGGCTAAATTTAATATAGACAAGTAAGAGATAATAAATATATAATGTTAAGGCCTACAGTTTCCAAATTTACACAAAGTATGAGGTTGTGTATATTATAAAATGAATTGTTTTTTGCTCACACAAATGATCTCTCTTAATAGTTGTGTGACAAAGCATTTAATATGCAGAGGAAGTACCTGGGTTCTTTTGGGATTGTTGAGCCTTTGAGAGTTCAATTTTCATAATAAGAAGCCTGGAACAGTGTTAATATTAAGTTTGTTTAATATAGGAAAAGTAATGTGGCTGTAAATTTGTTCTTGCCAGTCATCAAGAAGTTTATGATCCAAGGAGGCGACTTCTCAAACCATAATGGCACAGGGGGTGAAAGCATCTATGGGGAGAAGTTTGAGGATGAAAACTTCCACTACAAGGTACACGACCTATCACCAGGCAGGGCTCGCAAAATCGCTAGCCCGACGTCCCGGGGCTAGCGATTTCTCCAGTCGGGCTACCAAAATCTATCTCTGCCCTGCCCGTCGGGCTATC